ATGAAATTTTGGAGATCTAGATCATCACGTATTGTAGAGCAATTCTGCTGGCAAAAATATATGATATTCTACAAACGGTTAATTTTGAACGTCTTTTTTGTATAAAGCAGAGATGATTTTTGGGTTTGGGGTTTTTTTAAATAACCGGGAAAAAAACAGGAATTGAAAAATTGGATTTGAATGGACACCCTGTAAACGGGATATTAAGAACTATCGAGGTATCACCAGTCTTTCGGCAGCGTCCAAACTGTTTGAGATCATCTTGAGCGAATTTGTCCTGAATCGCTCGAAGAACTACATTTCAACTGACCAGCATGGATTTATTCCCGGTAGATCGGTAGCTACTAACCTTTTGGATTTCACCAGTACAAGGTCATATATACTGATCTGAAAGCCGCATTCGACAAAATCGACCAGAAGGTTTTGTTATGCAACCTTTCCCGACTAGGAGCGTCTGAGCAACTTAGGTCGTGGTTACATTCCTACTGGACTGGACGAAGTCTTCGAGTACGTTTACCAGCACCTCTGGAGGAGTACCTCAGGGAAGTAACCTGGGTCCACTTTTGTTTACGTTATTCTTCAACGATGTAGCAGCTTTGTTGGGAGTTAAATGCAAGCTCGTTTATACAGATGATTTTAAGTTATTCATCATAATTCACTCGATTGAGGATTGTCATCGTCTTCAAGCTCTGCTAGATTTGTTTGTGGATTGGTTCCGTTGCAATAAGCTCATCATCAGCGTTCCAAAGTGTGCAGTGATGAAGTTTCACCGCTCTGAAAGTTCAATCCTTTACGACTACTGCATTGATAATGTAAGCTTGGTGTTCTTTTGGACCCAAAGTTGACCTTCAATCTTCACTATTTCTCGATCATCTCTAAGGCGAATCGTGGGATTTATTTGGAAGATTGCACGAGATTTCAAAGACCCTCACTGCTTGAAGGCACTATATTGCTCTTTAGTTCGGCCCATACTTGAGAATGCATCTGTGGTCTGGTCTCCTTATGAGCTAGTGTGGAATCTCCGAATAGAACGTGTTCAGAAAAGATTTTTGAGGTTGGTTTTGCGCAGCTTGCCGTGGCGCGATTGTACCGATGCATGCTATTGAACCTGGACACATTGGAACACAGAAGAAATATGCAACAAGCCTTATTTGTAGCGAAACTTTTAAATGGCGATGTGGACTGCCCTCAACTGCTTTCACAATTAAACTTCCGTGTTCCTCAAAGGATGTAACTTTTGTTGAGATCTCAGTGAAACTTATTTTTGCCGAGATTTGCACAGCCGAGCTCTGTAGAAAAAACTAAGTGTGACATTCTTCCCGACTCTGCTTCTTCAGTAATGTTGTCCGCCAATAAAAGTGTTGTGTGTTTTCGCTTGGATCCTGACAGATAATCCATTGTAGAATGCTGACGATGAAAGCATTTATTTAAATATTCAACATAACAATAAGTTCAACTTATTACATACCCGTTCTTAATACAATGTAGTTTCACGCTTCCAATAAACAAAAACGATTAATTCGCCTTTTCGTAAAGTTTACACAACCACAACAAACGATGCCCTCAAGAAATTTTACCCTTCTGTCAGTTAGCCCAACTAACGAATCGATGGTGGTGTTGCTAGATTGTTTTAAAGCTTATCGGTATCGAAGGTATTAAAAATTGGTATTTATCGGTATTTACTATTTAATTAATTTTATATTTTTGCCGTTTTTGAAAGCAAAATTTTTAACAACGGTGACAACTGGGATTTGAGGAGAATTGCAGTCTTAAAACACTCTTTAATTTTTTTATTTAATTTTTAAAATTATCGTTGTCCTCAAATGGGGATCGAAATTGTGACCAAGTAGTTTTTTCAATAAAATATCATTAAATGAAACCAAAATGTGGAAAATCAGCCATTACAACGACTAAACTATTGACAATATCGACAAACAATATTTTCCCTTGAAAAAGGCCACAACCCATGGCCGAAATGTTGAGCAGATTACATCGTAGTCGTTGCAGTGTTGCAGTCAATGAGAAAGCCGTTAATCAAAGCAATTTTTTTGCTTTTGAACTAAGATCGAAAAATTCCGGAAGAAAACTCCGGGGAATGTTTGAATTAGCTTCTGAACGAAGCTGACAAAACATCCAGAGAAAGACGAAAAAAGCTCTCTTTGATGAAGTTCGAGTAAAGTTCTAAGAAAAGTTAGAAAAACATCCGGGAAACTTCCAAGACACGAATTAAGAAACTTGTGGCGAAAATTTAAATAAACTATCGGAAAAAAATCGGATGTCACATCCAAAGGAAGCCAGAAAAGTTTCGGAAATCGGAAGTAAATTTTCAAAAGTAGCCATTTCCAGGAAAAACCAGAAGAAGCTCGGAAAAACCTTCCAATAGAGGTCGAACAAAAAAACCTTTGGCTTATGGTCAAACTTCCAGAAGAAGGCGAAAGAAATTTCTGGGAGAATTAATTGAACTTCCTGGAGAAGACGACAGAAACTTCCTAGAGACGCTGGCAGGTAGATTGGAAGAAACATCTGAAGAAAGTCAGAAGCCAGAGCGCTTACGGAACAGTCGAAAGAAACAAGTACACAATTCATAAAACATCCCTGAAGACTCCGCAATTTCCTTAAAGTTTTCGGAACAGTCCTGAAATGCACTTAGGAATATTCCATAGTTCCTCGAAATTCCTTAAAAGTTCTTGTAATTTTCCTGAAATTAGGGACCGTGACTACCGGAATATCTCTAATCATCTTTGAAGGTCCCTGGACTTTCTTGAAGATTACAAAATCTCTTAAGTGCTCTCGCAAATTTCTCGAATTTATTGTAACATCAGCAGGGAAGCTCTCTGATTTTCCCGATTTTTTTTTTATTTTTAAAAGTTATCGACACTGCCATTAAAAAAGCATAGAACTTCCCATAAAATGTTCTCGCAATGTTCTACTGTTCATGTAACTTCCCTTACGTTTCCTAAATTTGCATGAGCCCCTCAGGACATTGCTGAAGTTTTCGGAAATTGCTTGAGTTTTTCGGAACTCCTTTATAATTTCAGCAATTTCAATGAAATTAATTGATCTGTTCTGATGTTCTCTAAGCTTCACTTAAGTTCCTGAAAACCATTAAATTTCCCTGAAGTTCTTTGGACTTGTGAAAATTCCAAAATATTTATGATGTTTCCTTAAGTTCACTGGACTTCGCTGGACTTTTCTGAAATTTCCGGGGTTTCAAATTGTAACAGAGGTTTTTGAAACTGTCTTTAATGTTTTAATGAACTTCTTAAATGTTCCTGCAGCTAATGTGAATTCGCAATAAAAATCTGATAGCATCCTTGAAGTTCCGGAAAAATTGAAAAACAGGCGGGAGAAGATGAAAGAATTATTCGAGTGAAGGCTGAAGAAGCTTCCAAGGTAAGGTGAAAGAAAATTTCAGGGAAAGTTGGATGAAACTTCAGGAAGTTAAAAAAAATGAATAAAAACTTCCGGAAGTTAAATAATGTTTAAAACATATTTCTCGATTCCCTAGGAATTACCGGAAAGAGCCATCAACTATTTCTCGTTTGATGGGTAGCCAATAAAATGGAGGAAATGCAAACATTAGTCAAAAGAGTATCAAGCATAAGGCATCTTTAGAGATGATTTTTTAGAATTTTGAAGGCTAAAAAAATATAAGGTATTCAAAAACATACAAGTCTCTCACAAAAAATTTCTCCGAAATTCAAGTGGGGCAGGCAATAATAATTTTGATTATTTAAAAAATCGGTATAAATCGGTATAAAATCTTAAAAATCTGTATTCTGAGGAATCTTATCTGTATATCGGTATCTAGTTCGGAAATCGGTATAAATACCGATAAATCGGTATATCTGGCAACGCTGGGTGGTGGCTCAACCAGCGAATTCCGACTGTATACTGCGCTCAGCAAAAGCTTTCCTGATGCTCATCTATATCTTCGATCTATCTTCTTCTTCTATATATATAAAAATGAATTTCTGTCTGTCTGTCTGTCTGTCTGACCCTTATAGACTCGGAAACTACTGAACCGATTGGCGTGAAAATTTGTATACAGGGGTTTTTGGGGCCGTGGAAGGTTCTTATGATGGTTCGAGACCCCTCCCCCTTCTGTAAGGGGGGGCTCCCATACAAATGAAACAGAAATTTCTGCATAACTCGAGAACGGCAAGTGTGGGGGTATAAGGAGATAATCATAGGGGGTAGCCCCTTAGATAATAGGGGGGGGGGGGGGCTACGTACAATATAGCATGCTTTTTTTTTAATTGGCGCATAAACTCAAACTAATATTGAATCCCGAGCAAGACCGGGCACACTCCGCTAGTATATATATAAATGAATTTCTGTCTGTCTGTCTGACCCTTATAGACTCGGAAACTGCTGAACGGATCGGCGTGAAAATTTGTATGCAGGGGTTTTTGGGGCAGGGAAAGTTTCTTTTGATGGTTCGAGACCCCTCCCCCTCTGTAAGGAGGGCTCTCATACAAATGAAACAGAAATTTCTGCATAACTCGAGAACTAATCAAGCAAATGGAACCAAATTTGGCATGTGGTGGTATAAAGAGATGGTCATAGGGACTAGCCCCTTAGATATTCAATATAGCATACTTTTTTTAAGCGGCGCATAAACTCAAGCTAATATTGAATCCCGAGCAAGAATTACATAGTAGGCTTATTGATTAGCTGGGTCATTGTTTACGTTCGGCTGTTCCGTCTCTGCCTCATGTTGGTCTAAAATTAGTACTACAGTCATCTCTGCTTAACTCGATATTGAAGGTACCACCGAGTTAGTGAGGATAACGAGTTACGGAGGTAAACTTTCTAAATTGGTATGGCGTAATTTGGCAAAGTAGCCGGGATTTCCATCGAGCAATGTTTTTATACGGTCGAAGGATTCATACGAATGGAGGATGACGTTTTGGATCAGTGTTGTGTTACGTCTGTTTTATCTGTGCCGAATTTAGATTTACATTTAACTCATCGCCAATTTCATCTATTCCGCACAGACAAAGAAGAAGCGCAAGCGTTGCGGCGAATGTGTCGGATGCTCGCGCAAAGACAACTGCGGAGACTGTGCGCCCTGTCGGAACGACAAGAGCCATCAAATCTGCAAGACTCGCCGGTGCGAAAAACTGACGGAGAAAAAGGTAAGTCAATTTGAATTTTGTTTTTATATTTTTGGCTATCTCGTTCAACCCTGCCGAAAGAGTCAAATGAGAGACCCTTCAGGGCACGACTGCCCCCCCAATCACCATAAATCAATCCCTTAACGAACGTAATGAAGCGATAAAATCTTAACTCGTACAACAATGCATTGCGAGGAAAACAAAATTTGCAGATGTCAATGCACTCGAACTCGACAAACAAAAAAACACACAGAAGACGGGAAAGATCATCATCCGCATGTTTGCGAGCGGCAACGCGTGGTAACAAAGGGCGGCGACTAATTTTCAACCGTCAAAATATTTGAGCGCGCGCCCTCTTTCGCTTTCGTTTTGTAACTCTTTCGCTTCTCATACGGCGGAGGAACATGTGTTTTCTGGAATAAGGAGTGTGTGCCCTTGTTCCGAAGGCAAACCGGTCGGCCGGCAGCAGGTTGTAGCTTCTTCGCTCGGCGAATTGCTCCTGTGTACTGTCGTTGCCCGGTTTGTTTACATTTGGAGCCATGTTCAGCTGGCCCGGTGTTTTCTTTCTTTCTTTCTTTCTTTTTTGTCGCCAAGACGTGTGGCACGCGAGTCTTTTGATAATGAAGATGCGAAAAAGGGGTTCTCTCAACGGGTCAAAGTAGGCCTTAGGGCTGGATTGCGGGCGGACGGCGGGTGCTGCGAACTGTGCAAGGCAAATAAACCTGCAGATGTTACCGGTGCGCACCGTTGTTGCTCGGTTGGGCATTAAAAATCATCGATTTTTTTTATATCAACTGCCCGATTGTGAGCCGTTCATGAAATATTGATTTTCTGGCGAGAACATTGATTGCACCGCGTGATAAGCGGCAATAAATTTCGCGTTCATACCCATTCGAATAACACTTTGTTTACAATCAGCCTGCTGCCTGATAAGAAGGTGTGCTACGTTATTTGAACACCCGCACTTTGCAGCGGCTTTCGGGTAAATAAACAGCGGCTTGAAACGGAATCCACCATTGTTGTGTGACAGTTGGTTACTTGGCAACAAAGTGAAGAAAAAAAAAATCTTTAATTTCCATTTTTATGCAGCGAATATCCTGTGTTTGTGTATGCGAGTGCACTGGAAGCATTAATTCCATTTAATTTCATACACCATATGTGCTGCGGACCAATTTTCCTCTGTTTCCTTCCACACTCGACGAAACGATGGCGGCGCGGTGCGGAGGAAATAAGATTAACCGTCAATAACAAATAACAATGGCGGCTACTGCCAGGCAGGGTGCGAAGAGAAGCAGCATGGTGGAACACAAATGCGTATCAGTCAGCTGTTCAAACTTTGTTTCGATTTCCGTAGAAATCCTACGGCTGAATTATGAACGACGAAAACGAGAATAATAATAAAAAAAAAACTTTTCAATCAATAACGTGAAATCTCAGGTAGGTAGATGAAGATCCTTTTCGGATGTTATTATATTTTTCCCATCGAAGCAATCTGCCGCTGCTGCTGTTCATGCTGACTGCTGCCAGTCATATTGAATGATTTTATCCCGAAGACAGACGTGACAGAAAGAGAGGAGCATCTGCCTTTTGCCTATTGAATTTTCGAAAAAAAAAAATCGATAGAATAATTGGTGTCAATGTTTATATATAGTAGCCATCATGTTAATTTTTTTCAGTGTAGCAGCATGAAACGTCAAAAACTCAGTCAAAATCCACTTATCAGGGAAATTTTATATTTTGTTACAAATTCGTAAGAAAGGAACGCTAAATCTGCTATGACACTTGAGAAAATGACATTGCTCAGTGAGAACGCGAAACAGATCGCAACCAGCTTGTTTGTGGCGTTAATTGTGCCAATCCGAGCTACTCCGAGCTGCTCGCAATGGTGTTCATTCAGCGAAATGCGAGCAACTTCGAGGTGGCACTGTTGGAAGACTCAGCTCGCGAGTTTTATGTTTTTAAACCTGGGTCAGACTCGAATCTGACTCTCAATAAACGAGTGAAAATGAATGCGTGTTGGATCCTGGATCGAGTCAGTATGATGGTGCTAGTGCATTGATTTTAACTGTCAGCTCAAAGATAGAGTGAAAATTATGAGGTTCGTGGATTTTCCAATGTTTCGAGGGGTGCATCGTTTAGCTTGGGACCGAAGATAGTACCAGAGCTGAGCCAAAAAGTTGAACACGTTTCTTCGGGACCTACTAGTCTTAGAGTTACCTCTATGTTTTAATTTCATTACCGAACAATGTAAACATTTTGAATTTGACAGCTGTATTTGTGTGGATTGGTGAAGCCAGTTTGGATTTAAAAAAATCGGCAGTGCGAACTTCGTCGACTTTGAGTCGGATCCAGGGTGGATCTGGATCGGACCCTAACGAATAAAATAGCGTTTTGACAGCTCTTAGGGTGAATCTAGGGCACTAGGAATAAACGAAAACGGCATTAACCTGGTCAAGTTCTACTGGCTCGATATTTTGACGTTTAGTCAGTGTTATTTCCGAAAAAAAAACTAAGTAAAAGACATTTCGTCTTGCAATAATGAAAAGTTTGGTAAGAATCTTATCGCTGAATTATATCAAGACGAGCGTGCATTAAAACAAATAAATAACTCAAACCATCTTCAAGTAAGTTGTCAGCTTGACAAAAAAAAATCACGAATAAGTATGAGCAACTTCCAGCGGTAATTCCCTGAAGAGTCCACAAATGACTGATGGCTGATATGCCGTATTCAAGTATTCCAGAGCGCAAAATCTCGAACTTTGTTGCAAATTGAAACTGCTTGCACTGCAGCAAACGCGGAGTTCCAGTTTAGTTGTTGTATGTTTTGTGCGAGTCGATATTTGGGCTCTTGGAATTTCGAGGTGATAATGCGATCAATCATAAATCAGGTTTCCACAGCGATTGACCATACAAAGCTTAGTCTATACTGTTGAGTGTGCCAGGCCAGCGTGCATGGAAACGTCAACGAAATCGTTTGTTTACCCATCAAACTATGATTAGGGAATATCCTCGTACACGGTAAGAAAAAAGTACCCAAAAGTAAGTTCTTTTCACTCATCTCGGCACTATAGTGCAGAACCCAAAAGTAGGTAAAGCGGGTCAAAGTAGTTTTCATTTACTTGTGAGCAATTCGTATGGAATTTTCCACTCGCTTTGTACCCAAAAGTAAGTTAGTTGTACCCAAAAGTAGGTAAATATGATTATACTCAACGTTGGGTTCCCACACTTTACTACCCCTGTTGGGTGGTTTTGCTCCTCCGTTTTTGACAACATTAGAAGGAGAAATGGAGACTAACTAGTCAATAGTAGGTAAACATGAACTGGCGTTGGGTACTTTTTTCTTAGCGTGTAGCATATTTTGACCAATTGTACACTAGGGTGCTTCATTTTGAAAAATGTGACGAATTTCTGACAGGCCACCCTGCAGTTCGATTCATAACCCCAAAATATGAGCCTTTGCATAACATGATAAAGATTGTCCGTTTCCCGGGAAGCCAAACATTTCCTGGTAAATGGAAACACTGTTTGACACTTGAGTTTTGGGTAACTTCGAATGTGTGTTGATATACTTTGTCCGGCAGTTTGAATAACTTTGTATGCTTTAGAACGCTGAGAACTTTTCATGCCACAGAATCTAGAAAACTTCGCCATTCTCGGGATTCTAATCAGAATTTAATTAAAGTTTACATCAGAATATTCTTTAAATTCTTAACAATCTAGGAAATATCTCCAGGATTCACCTGAGGTTTACCAAAGTATTTTTCCAAAAATTACTTTGAAATTCACATCAGAATTCCACGAGATTGTTTCTCAGAATTCTCTTGAAATTCTTCTCAAGTTAAGTTCCCTTGAGAGAATTTCTTAGAGTTTCTTTGGATCTTATTTGAGAATTTGATTCCCTTTAAAGTCCCTTGGAACATTCTTCCAAATTATCCTGGAATTCTGCTCACAGGGCTCATCATAGTTTGATCAAAACTACCTCGGAATTAATCTTTATTTCTCCTTAAGTCTCCTATCTTGAAATACTCCTCAAAGTTACCTGTATCTTCTCCTCACAGTTCCTTTAAAATTATCTCTAGAATATATTAAATTTTATCCATGCGATGTTTTTTTTTTAAATCTGATATCTTGACAATTACGTTATATTTCATATTTTAAATTTTTCGGTGTCTGAAATCTCAACAAGTTCAAGAATGTGAAAGACTTTTTTTATATATATCTTTATTAAGGAGACTTTCAGCCGTTGGCTGGCTCGTCTCCGACGAATGTGAAAGACTGGCATAGTCTCCTAATCTTCGAAAAAAATCTCAGTCCATGCTACAAATGTTATTCCATGGATCGCTTTGTTTTCTAAATGATTTCCATGTTCAATATATCATTCGGTTTAAAGACCCACTCGGCCTTCGACAAAATTACATGTTATCAAGTGAAATTACAAAATTCCGAGACTCTTAAAAGTTTTTATATTTTTAATTTCGGATTTACTTATACAGATTTATTTAAATGCTCTCGGCAACGTGGGGCTTTAGGTAGCAAAGGCGGGCGCACACTTTTTGCATGTAGATTTGAAGACATACTTCAAATCTCCGCGTACATCGTACGGGTTAGGCAAAAGGTGTGCGTATGACTTTGCACAGTCGCATTAATTGCCCTTCGCTCATTTGTAACTTCTGTTCAATTTTAATACTGCCGTACTCTAACGGAAGTATCCACCTACTCTCTTCTAAGATCATTCTCTAGCTAATAAATATAAATTATCACACTTAAGCTTCATGTTAGATAGCATTTCCAACCAACTCTGAAAATCGCAAACTTTGCGTATGAAGTAACATAAAAACACTTTGAATGGAACATAACTTGGCAATTTGAAGAGTTCCATTTTACCGTAGCTATTTATATGAAACCGGGAAAACTATTATGGGCAACCTGGAAAAACCGGGAATTTCATTTCTTAAATCCAGTGGACACCCTGTTTCTTTTGAGTGTGTAAGAGGTTCGCCGAGGAGTTCGCAGAAATTTAT